AATCAATTTCAATACAACTCAGTTTTGGATATTAGTATTAGTTGCTGAACTAAGTAATTTAATCCAGTACTGCCTATAAGAAGGTGAGTGGAGATTCTGTTTATAAATATCTTTTGTTTCCAGACTAGGAAGATAGCTCAATTGGTAAAGTACTTGTCATGCAGGCATAAGAACATGTGAGACTGTGAGGACAAATATGACCATGACAGGACACAGAATCTGACAGTTATCATCCTGTCTCTTGCCTTTTCTCCCCTGTCATGCTTAGTATTGAACTCAGGACTTTGCATATGCCAAGCAAGTGTCCTACCACCAAGCTATGGACGAGTATCCTTAGTACCCATGTCAAAAAACCATATGTGGTGGCAAACACTTGTAATCCTAGCACTGAAGACAGGGAGTCATATGGATAGATATAAACAAGCCTCAGTAATTGCCAGAAGTATGTTAATTTGTACTAAGGAAACAGTATAATTGTGAAAGCAGAAGCCTGATCCCTCTCCTGAGCTGTTTGTTGTGGTATTGAATGGGAATTCATGAATTTTTTGATGCTTTTTGAGTATGTGAGCATCTTTACTTAGTTTCTGAGCATCTTTTCCTAACCCACATTCACTATTTCTTTGTTCCATGTAGTAAAGTCTATTTTTTTTTTTTTTCAGTTCGGAATAAGCTGCGGGAGATAGTAGGTGTATCCACAAAACTGGAGGTATGTACTTTTGTGTTTCAACCCCAAGTTATATGTAGGCTTAGTTGCTGAACTTCTCTCATGGATGGAGAGTACTGTGTGGAGACAGGGCTTTTCTGATAGGAATAAAATCTTAATGTATAAATCAGTTGCTGCATCATCACTGTGAAAGAATGTGATTTATTTATATTGTGCATTATCAAAACTTGTTTAGATGTAGTTGCTGATTCTCATAAGGAACCTTGTGACATTCTTCGGACATATTCCATTTTCACACACAATGAAACTGAAAGTCAGAGTTGGAACTTGAAGTCAAGTCTTCTGACTTTAATATATTATGTAACTTGACCCCTTTATTAAAAGGTTTATGGTCTGGGAGAGTTCTGTGGTTTGGGCGATGGGTAGGGCAGCTCTTGGCCCATGCCTAGATCTCCTTTGCTGAGAAGGCAGGGAAGGCCAGATCCAACGTGGTGCACTGTTTGTGAGACCCCAGCTCAGTCTGGGAGGTTGAGAAAAGGCTTGGATGGATAGGTTAGGGGCACTCACCAGCCAAATTCCCAGAAGGGACTTGTAGATAGGTTGCTTCCTGGAGGAAGACTAGAGGTTGGTTGAGGTGCAGAGTAGGCCAAAGTACTGCTTGTGAGACCTGGGATAGATGTGGTAGGTTGCAGAAAGTAAAGGATAGGGTTGTAGGAGGTATTCACCAGGTTAGACCCTAGAGGAGGACCTCCAACATCTGGGTATAGAGTTGGGTGGTGAAGGTGGAGCAAAAGGACCTGTGGGTAGATTCAGGTAGGACAGGTCCTGGTAGAAGTCTAAAGATTTCGTGGGGTGCAGGAGGAGGTGGTCAGACTAGGATTTACGTGTTTAAAACAATGTCAAGATGCAACAAAAGTTTTTAAAAGTTGCACCTGGTGGTTTTTGACTCTTTTCTACCCAATCTAAAGTAATTGACAATTCACATCTACATTTCCCCCCAGGAATTTGGCTTTCAAAGGGCTAAGCTATCTGTGTTGAGAGTGTTTCACATTCTCAATTTAACTTTTTTCTCTGACTTGAGTATGTTTTATAAGCTTAACTTTTGGCAATAATAGTTTATCTTTTAAACATAGTAGGACTTCTTATGTCATTGTGCAGTTAACATTTAGTTTCCTGGGTTTTTTTTTTTTTTTTTTTCTCTTTTGTCTTTTACTTTACCCTTATTTTTCCTTATTCTTTTGCCTTTTAAAAATGCTTTCTTGAGCCAGGCAAGGTTATAATACCAGCACTGCAGAAGGCAGAGGCAGGCAGATCTCTGTGAGTTCAAGGCCAGCCTGTTCTGCAGAGCCAGTCCAGGACAGCCAAGGCTACAAGGCTACATAGAGAAATCCTGCCTCGAAAAAAACAAAAACAACAATAACAAAAAATGTTTTCTTCCTTTTTGCCTTCATTTCTGCTTTGCATACTTTCTATGGATATCATTCTTTTTTTTTTTTTTCTCTCATTTGTCTCTTTTTTGAAACTGAAGGGTGGGGATAGAGGAAGGAGAAAGAGACAAAGAGGAGAGAAAGGAAGAGGAAAGTGAGAATATGAGAACAAATATGAGCATGATAGGACACAGAATCTGACAGTTATCATCCTGTCTCTTATCTTTTCTCCTTTCTCATGCTTAGTATTGAACTCAGGACTTTGCATACGCCAAGCAATTGTTCTACTACGAACCTAGTATGCTAGTATGAACAAGCCTTTTCTTTTCTTTCCTTTTTTTTTTTTTTTTTTGTTTTGTTTTGTTTTTCATGAAAAGGTTTCTCTCTATAGCCCTGGCTGTCCTGGACTTGCTTTGTACCTGGCTGACCTTGAACTCACAGAGATCCACTGCCTCTGCCTCCCGAGTGCTGGGATTAAAGGCATGCACTACCACCACCTGGTGGATAAGCCTTTTATTTCATAAGAATATTTTATGTGGATTGGTGTTTTCCCTGCATTTATGTATGTGCAGTAAGTGTGTGCCGTGCATGAGGAGGGCAGAAGGTGGAATCGGGTCCTCTGGAACTGAAGTTACAGATGGTTGTGAACCATTTTGTGAGAGTGGTGTCAAATCTGAGTCCTCTGTGCAAGCAGCCAGTGCTCTTAACCACTGGGTGATATCTCAGACTCCTGGAAAAACTCTTTGATCCATTGACTATGTGGCTCATTTAGATGTATCTATATCTAAGTATGTGTTTCTTAGGCATATGCCTAGTTTCCAGCTCTGTCAGTTGGTAGAGCATGAGACTCTTATCTACAACCCTAAAATGTCATCAGAAATGTTCAGTTTCCCCGATTGGTTCATGGGAAGGGAGTGAAGAAGTTTCTTCCATTTACCCTGTCTGACTGTTCTGTTTGAGGGGATGGGTACTAGAATTATGGGACAGCACTGTTCTTGCTTGATGACCTTACCTTTTCTTCTCAGAGACCACGTAAAAGCAATGGAGGAAAGGAAGTTACTTGATAATTTTTTGGCTAAATCACAGAAAGACCTACCACCGAGGAAAATGAAGGATTTGACTGTTCAAAACACAGTAAGGTAAAACTGTTATTTTCATTGTTGTCATTTGTTTTTAATTTTTTCTTTTAAAATAACTACTGTGAGATATAAACCTTGTAGTTCATCTATTTAAAGGTATGACTAGTTTTAGTATAGTTTTGTATAAGTATCACTACAGTCAATTTTAGAGCCCTTTCTTTATCTCAAGGTGAATTATGGGAAATCATTGTAATTTTTATTTAATTCATATTTTGTTGTGTTTCACAGATTCGGCAGGATTCTTGAGGATCTTGACAGCTTAGGAGGTACTGGTATTTGTATTCCTAATAACAGTTACAAGTAGACAATGAATTCTTGGAAAAAAAGGGCAATTTTTTTTTAACCCTGCACATATGAGGGTATTCTTAAAGGGCAAAAAACGTCTATTGTCATATTGTTTTTTTTATAATATAGATTTCTCTTTAATTGAGTTACCATCCAAATGAGCCTTATTTATGATGATTTTTAGTTGTAAAATTTACAACTAACTTGAACCTGGGAATTGACCCCAGGGCCTCAAGCATGTTAAGCACACACTCTAGATGTAGTTCTATCTGCAATGTCAGGGAATGCTATTTTGTAGACATGACATGGCCATTGCACTCTTGTCAGCAAGGTACTAACTGTACAGGGCCTCTATAACAGTGAGCCCTTGGGCATTCCATCATAGAGAGGTAATGGATCTAGGTGGTTCTGCCTCTCAAGGAAGCTCTATATACTGTTGCTAGGCAGAAAGGACTTATGAGGCCCCACCCCTCCCTGAGGATCTAGAGACAGTTAATGATTGCTGGGGAAAGAAGAGACGTTTTCTTTTTTTCTAATTATTATTATTATTTTTTTTTTTTGAGACTAGGTTTCTCTGTGTAGCCATGGCACTAGATGAACTAGCTCTTTAAACTAGGCTAGCTTCGAACTCAGAGAGATCCACTTGTCGCTGCCTCCCAAGTGCTGGGATCACATCCCCTCCCTTAGCTTGAGACATTTTCTTCATTGGTGTAGTCACCGGCATATTGTGCTGTTTTCGCATAAATAATCCTTCACTTATGTCCATTTAAGCACCCCAAATTATCTCATTGGGTCACTACAATTTTTAAGAGTTTTAAAGACAAGTTACAGATGCCCTATAAAGAATTATTTTCCTTGAATCTTAGGTGAGAGAGTAAATTGCAGACCACCATGTATTTTAGTGTAAATTTCCTACAAAGAAAGACATCTCTTACAGGGTGCGGTGGTGTACAACTTTAATCCCAGCATTAAGAGAGGCAGAGGCAGGTGGATAGCTGTGAGTTCAAGGCCAGCTTGGTTGACAAAGCAAGCCCAGGATAGCCAAGGCTATACAGAGAAACCCTGTCTTGAAAATACCAACGAAACCAAACAAACAAAACAAAACTGAGCCTTCTCCATGACCTCCTGGATTCTTTTTAAATGTGTCTTCCATCATTCTTTGAGCACTTCTTAACTTTCTGACCAGTAAGACATTCTAGATTCATCTTCTCTTCCCTCTGGCCCAGCCAGCCAGTTAGTCAAATTTCCAGGGGATCCTAGTTCTTTTTCGTGGAGAACATTTAGGAACCAAGGTCTGTGTGCTAAGAGTAGCCGTTGCTGCTGGTTGTCACTATTCCTGTATCCTCTCTTTTGGGTGAGTTGGGATATTAGGTCCACATATGTCCATTGACATTTGTTCACTTAATTGATCTCTTTGTATATGGAAACTAGTGGCTTCAACTTTAATTTAGCACTCTATGGTTTGCATTTGTATATTTATAATTTCTTTTCCCAGTTAACTCCATTATCCTTAATATATTTACCAACTTGACCAGCTTCCTGCATGTAACCCATTTACCAGGGCCACTGCCAGAATTCCTCGTGGTCACGTCCCTTACTTCGCTTGGACTCTGATACCCCAAAACCAAGTCCTTTCTGCGTAGTCATCCTCTTCGTTGTGCTTAAGCTGCAACAAGCTTCCATTGCTTTTTCCATCTCCCTGAGTATCCATCCTACTAATGCCACTTGGGCTCCCCGCTCCAGGCTGCTTTTCTTACTCCCTCCTAGTGACTTTCAGACTTAACTGCTGGTAAAGGGCTTGAAGAAAGACCCTGATATCTCTTAAAGTACAGAAATGAGACTTCTTAGATGA